TTGGGAATTTTGGTTTGATTAAGATGCAATCGGGCAAATTAATGTTGTGTTAGGCAAGGGTTAAGAGGATGTGACATATAATATTTTTGTTTTGGTAAAATCGATATGCTTTTGATTAAAATATATATGATTGATACTCAAGACCAAGACTGCTTGGATGAGATGACGTGGGTCTCTTGCAGCTTAACCAGTGGTCTCGTGTTCGAGCCTTGGGAATGCAGTAGTGTTAAAAACTCTTGAGGGAGAGCTTTGTCGCCCTTGTGGTCCTACTCGGCTCGATTCCGGATTAGTCGATTCTCTTGTGGATCCGGAAATCGGAAAGTCCATGTACCAAAAAAAAAATATATATATAAATGATTGATTTAAATATAAATGGTTGATGGAATCTTGTGATTTGATTCCAAGTTGTGATTAAATTTACGTTATCTCCTATCTCGATCACGTAATTGACTTTGATTTTTCCTATGTAATTAATTTGCTCCAATTTTCAGACTGTTACTCTAATTTCAATGACCCTGGACACGACCGCCTTGCACAACTTTTTAATGATATACACCTGGACGAGGCTCACATGAACTCAGCCCGACTTGGGTCGCACTTGCTCGTTTAAGTCTATTTTTTTAGATCTCGAAATTATGAATCTCATGCAATTTTTTACGACTCGGCTCTTTAAGAACTTAATTCGACTTGCGTTAAGAATTTAATTCGACTTGAATCTATATCTATATAATTATTCGATTTGAATCTATATTTAGATAATTACTAGTTGATACATTTAATAAAATATTTAATACAATCTATTTTCATTTCCATCCAAAAAGAGTTATATTTTTTTTAATTAATTATTCACTAATCTGTTAAAACCGCTACACCTTAATATATATATTTTTATTATTTATTTTTTGGATCACTTACTAAATTAATTCTAAATTTGGAAGCAAAATATTCAAATGTGTAACGGCTAATATTGGAACTTAAAGTTGATTGGCACATTCAGAATTGTAACCGCTATATTTAGTTGTATTGTTGGAAGAAAAATATGAATGGCACATTTTTTTTTCTAAAAATCAGAAACACTAATAATTTTTTTTATTTATGTTAATTTTCTTAATACATGCCACAAATATATAAATTATTTCATTCATGTTACTAATGTAAACGTTGCATAGTTAAAATAAAATTTTAAATCTCAATTAATTTTGAATGATAAAAATAATTTAAGAAAAAATACATGTCTAATTAATAAATACAAATAAAAACGTGTTTTATATCTGTGCAAATGTACATGAACAAACACTAGTTTGTTTCATTAACCAGGAAAAAAAAAGTGAAAGGCTCGTTAGCAACCTTAGATACAACTGGGACAAAAAATAAATAAATAAATAAAAATCTAAATATTTATTGCATTTTCTATTTATATATTTGTATGTATGAACAGTTGTAAAACTACATTATAATGAACATAAAAAAGTGTGCACACATTTAATATATAGCATGCTTAATAATATGTATACATCATCTGCAAATGTTGAATAAATATACAACAATTTCCCACACACACACATAATATATATACAACAATACACCCACATATATGCAATGAGATCACTACTCAATCATAGTCATTGATTTTATGTTGATTAATAACTTATATTGGAGTTTTATCAATACAAGATCTGAAAGATGGGTAAAATATCAATGTAGAGCTTGAAAGATTTTTTTTTTTTCAATTCAGGACTTAAATGTTATAAAGCTATCAAATTAAAGACCTGAACGATGGGTAAACTATCAATGCGGGTCCTGAAAGATTTTTTTCTCAATTCGGGACTTAAATATTATAAAACTATCAAATTAAATCTAAAATTAACAAAACTCATTACACCTTTAAATTTAGAGTTTAAAAAAAAATAAATAAATATTGGTGTTTACTCACATAAAATAATAAGTAAACATTTACATAATATTAAAAAAATAGAGGATAGCAAGAAAACCGAGCAAGAGCTTCATACTTTCCTTAATTTTCTTCATTTTTCTTTTTTTTTTCTTTTTCTTTTTTTACCTTGTAACAAATTTGGTGTTTTAAAAATTCAAATTATCTCTAAATTTAACGGTGTTATGAGTTTTGTTAATTGTAGACTTAATTTGATAGTTTTATAACATTTGAATCCCCGAATTGAGAAAAAAATCTTTGAGGCCACGTATTGATAGTTTATCCCTCTTTCGGGTCTTTAATTTGATAATTTTATAACATTTAAGTCCTAAATTGAAAAAAAAAAATCTTTCAGGCTCCGCATTGCTAGTTTACCCATCTTTTGAGACTTGTATTGATAAAACTCCTTATATTAACTAATTAAAAAATACATTAATTATATAATATAGAAGAAAAAAGTATTACTCCCTCCTTTTTTAAAAAATGTCGTTTTGACTTTTTTGATTCATTCATTTTACTATGTACCTAGACATTAGACATTAATATGTCTAGATACATAGCAAAATGGATGAATCAAAAAAGTCAAAACGACATTTATTTAAAAAAGGAGGTAGTATTATTATGACTATTATTACCATATTAATTAATCTATTACTATATAAAAGAGCTAAGGAAAAATGTTTGAAAAACTCGAAAATAATTGTTTCATTTTCCCGTTTCAAATTCCCGCTTGTGTTTCGTTTCCTTAAAGATTTTTGTTTTTTTCCCGCCCATGCAATTTGTTTGAATTATTTCTCCCATGCAATTTTTTTGAATGAAATTTGTTTGTTCAGATTTTGTGGGATTCTTTCCTTGTTTTAAATATGTAAATAGATCATTTAGATACTATTATACATTCTATAATCTAATTGATTTAATAATATTTTCTTATACTATTATTTGCATGTGTGTTGTATATGACCATCCATGTTGCTACATTTTATATTCTTATATACGTAATTTAATTATATATAATTAAGCAATTAACATTTTAATTGTAAACATAAAATAAACTTATACTCTTTTAGTATAAGAAATTTAAGCATATATAAATATTTGTATATTATATACTCACATCCTTAAGAATATAAAATTAAATTTATTATTATATGTATTTTTCATATCAATTACTATATAATAGGAATAAGAAAAAACCTAAAAAAAACATGAAGATTCCTGCTCATATTTTTTATTTTTACTACTACCAGAATTGTTTTTTGAATTTTTTATGTTTCTCCCGCCCATGACTTTTTTGAATTATTTAGAATTTTTGAAACGAATATCAATTATTTTTCTAATAGATATACATTCTATCTTATCTTGATGTCCATATTTATCTCAATTCTATCCCTTTTTTTTTTAAAAAAAAAATAAATAAATAAAAAAAAAAATTGTTTCTTTTTTTTTTTGTGGGTATTGTTTTGATTTATTTTAATATCCTTCATTTAAGTTTCATTATAAAATAAAACGTCTGAGTATTATATTATAAAATCTTCCTGTGAAGCATGATAATTTTTTCTTTCATATATTCTTTTTTTCTTTTTTCTAATATTACGTCTTTTTCTTTTCTTTTTTTTTTGACTTTTAAATTTCATTTTCTTAAGATGTTGGAAAATTTTTTACTATTTCCATGTTAACATTTATATATACAAAGTAAAATATTCATCAATCTTTTCAAAAATTTGGAATCACTTTAATAAATAAAAAAGAAAGAATCTGAAGTTATAGTATAATTATAAACCATAAAAGTAGCAAATAAATTATATGATTATAATATCTATATTGTTTTAAAATAAAATATTTCGTCAGTTAGTTAAGTTTTCAAACATTCCTAAAAAAATTTAATCTATGGATAAGTAATTATAATAAAATAATATGTCAATCCTTCACATTTTTATTTTGTGCACAATAGATTTAACAATAAAATATATACTTTTTATCTAAAACATTTATGATTACATATCATGCTTTACAAAAATATATCTATAGATAAGTTAATAATAATAATCAAATAAATATTATTATGAAATAAATCAAATTTTAAAAATGAATAGAATGCATATACGTACACAATATTTATTTTGAATTTGTTTAAATATTTTTAAATTATTTTAAATAACTAAATAATATTAATGAATATTAAGTATTTATCATTATATATATATATATATATATATATATATATACATAGAGTTGAACTTTTATAAATGTTATAAATAATAATAATAATAATAATAATAATAATAATAATAATAATAATGACTTTATATAACAATAAATTTTCTTAAAAAATAATAGTGAAGTTTTATAATGAACAAAAATAAATAAAAATATTATTTTGTCTATATCAAAAAATAAATATAGATGTTAAAGTAGTATTTATTAATATAAACTGTTATCAAGTTAACATATTCTTAAAATAAAGTTTTAAAAAATATTTTAAGAAACAAGTCCGTCGTGCATTGCACGGGATACACACTAGTTAAATTATAAATAAATTAATTGATAATATTAATTTGACTTGCCACCGGCTGGTGGCAACCGCCGTTGACCGGCGTTGACCGATAAACAAGGAATGCAATTGCAACTGCAAGTGCAGGAAAATCCGTCGCCGACCAGGCGGCGGCCAACCAGTCGGCCGCAGATTTCTACTTGCAGGCGGCGAACCACGATGGCCGGGTCGGTCCAGCTTGGGGAGTATCCACGGCGGTGGCGAGGTCGGCCTGAAGATGATGGTGGCGACGAAACCCGAAAAAAATCCAGCACGATTTTGGCGGTGGAGAGCTTCCAGTAGCCGAGTGTGGAGAGGATGGTGGCGAAGAGAGTCGGCGACCCGGTATGGAGGAGATGGCGGCGGCGAGGAGGGAACTGACCGCGGAAGGAATAAGGTCGGCGAATGAGTGCGTTCAATTTTTCAGATTTGGGGCTATGGGCCTGCTCTTGAGAATTAGATGAATTCTAAGAGTTCAAATGCAAT